ATTTTTACAGCGGCTATACAGTGTTATTTTTTAAAAAATATTGAGGGAAATTTTGTGGATTTACAAGCCAATTTGACGACAATATATCCTAATTCGGTTCGATCCTTTGTCTGTCTCTCTTTTGGACTTAAATTGAATTCTTCAAATTACAAAATCGTCTTTTACCTTCATTTTGCAATAATTATTTCCCATAGTAAAGCCAATTAAATATTATCTCAATGCAAATCTGTTAGAAATAATTAAACAAAAAATGTTATATTAATAAATTTCTATATTGATAAACTAAGCTGGTCCTATGTCAATTTCACAGTTGATAGAAACTCTTTCTGCTGAAAAACTGCAATAATGAATTAAACTATTTATTAGACGCATGTTTTTAATCTAAAACCAAATAATACACCACCTGCGTAGTTAATTAAAAGTCCATTTTCAAACCTCATTTCAGATTAGGGATGGCAAAATAGTTAAAAGAAAATAGTTAACCACCCATATTATCCACACAAAAATGGGTTGGATAATGAACTTTTTAAAAACGGGTCAAATATGAATAAGAACCACATTATCCATTGAGAAAATGGATAACAAATGGATAACTAATGGATAACCAATAGGTCTAACTTTTACATTTGTAAAACCTCAAATTGGGGGTTCCTCAAGTTAGAGAGACTAAGAATTCTCCTTAAGGTCATCATATGCAAGAAGTCATGGATAATATAGTTATCCATATTATCCGACGGTTAACCCGTTTTTTATCCGTATTAAATATGGGTCAGATCGGATAATTTATCTGTTTTCGACCTGAACCATATCCGATGCGATCCGCTCGTTTGCCACTCCTAATTCAGACTAATGCCTTATTGCTTGATGGGCTAGCATTTCAACCATATGTAGCGGGAATGATACTAGATAGCCACTTTTAAGCATATTTTTAAAAAAAATCGACAGTTTACAATGTATTTAAAGATTAGCCAATTCGCTCAAATTTCAGGATACGATGTCCTAAAGTTTAAACCTCAAAGTTCAAACTTCAGGACATCGTGTCCTAAAGTTCGAAAATTATGTCTAGAAGTTCAAATTTTATTTTCTAAATTTTTAATTAGTAGTTCAAAAATTTAGGACACTTCGTCTTGAATTTCAAATTAGTAGCTCAAAAACTTAGAACACTAAGTCCTGAAGTTTTGCTGAATTGACTAATCTTTAAATATATTATAAATTGTGGATATATTTAAAACAGTAAACTTAAAAGTGACTACTGGTATACTTTACCCTTTTGAAGCCCAAGAATGCCTGAATGGATAATTTGGAAATCTTACGGAAATATTTTATACCAAAAGATATATAGTATTTACTAATAAGTAGCCATTTTAGTCATGTTACTAAAAATAGCCAAAAATTATCAAAGATCTATAACATTCAAAAAATATAAGTAAAAAAAGATTTTTTTTTTCAATGGGTATTGTTGCGATTCGTTGAAAATACATAGATAACGCAATATACAAATTTTTATGAAGTCTGAAGGTGAGTTAGACTAGTTTGGAGTTAAAATTCATTATCAATGACATACAATATTAGAAAAAAAAAAAGGATTTTTTAATGGGTATGGTTGAAATTCGTTGAAAACATATAGATGAGGCAATAGACAAAATTTGAGCAAGATTGGATGTGATTTGGACTGGTTTGACATCAAAATTCATAGTTGAAATCGAGATAAGAAAATTCTTCTATGACACATGTATCAAACGTGTGTCATGCACATATCTCACACACATGTATACATAAACATACATGTGATACATATTTGATATACACATGATACATATGTGATACACAGTGTGATACACATATCATCTTTTTCATGTTCATCTTTTACTTCGAATTTTCAATTCAAACCACCTCAAAAGTAAAAGTGGATTTAGGATTTAAGTTTTATGGGTTCAACATTTAAAGTTTTTAGGATTGCACACATTGTTTTTTTAAAGTTATGGGTTCATGTTACTATTTATTGTAATACAAATAAATTTTTACACATAAATTTATGTTCCGCGTCAAAAGTACTGATGCAGTTGAATCCAATACAGATACATTGCATCCTCCTCTGCTCAAAAATCTACCAAATCATCCCAAAATCGAGATTCAAACTCCTTAAGATGTATCCAATCATTTCTAACAACACCCGCTCGAAATAAATTTTTACTGTGAAAATCCAAAATTTTAAATTCAAGCTTAAGCAAGCTTCAATGACTGTGCATGGAGTTTTCAGTATATTAATCTTTCGACCCAATTCAACAAACTAACATTTAATAGTGATTTCTAAATCGAATTAAAATGCTCGATTATCAGAATGTCAACTTAAATGAATTAAAATATTATAATATTTCTCAAGTCCAATGTCTCCAAAAGTTTAAACTACCTTTGTGTTTTAGTAAATTATTTAATTTACAAGTATTCCCGGTTCATATTATTTAACATTTTGTCAAGCTGAATTTGTTCGAAGAATTTATCTTTTTAGAAGGAAAAAAAATATTTCACTATGATACACTTATAAATGAACATGACTTTCATTTATAATTAGTGAGAGAAGTCGTTTATCATATTTTGATTGAAAAGTTTTTAAGACGTCTTTTTGATATTTTTTAAAAGGGTATTGAACTTCACTTTGACTCATTTTGTCCCCGCTTGTATACTTTTCAATTTTGTGGAATATGAAATTAAAAAATGTGTTCTGAACCAATCAATAATTATAAGATTTTGTATGGGTCAACATCTATCTCTAGAATGCTTAAGCCAAGGTAACAGTTAGTGAAGTATTCTCAGGCCGCCACGTGTCGAAGTGGCTTAAGGAACAATGAAGGTCGTGATCGAAGAATCAGCCAGGACTGAGGTCGAGTAACCATCAAGGATCGAGGCCGAGGTCGAATACACTTGACAGAGTTATAACGGTTAGTTCCAAGATAGGACATTAAAGAGAATATTTCAGAGGATATTCTTTGCACTTGTACTATTAGGGTTTTAGGAACATATTCCTTATAAATAGAAAAAGACACAATGATAGGAGGAGGGAAACTCATTTGTTTAATATACTTTGACTTTATAGAGAGAATCTGGTCTGATTCTACTAACAAAAATAATCTTTTCACTAAGATTCTGGTCGACACTGGCTCCGAGAATAACTCGTATATTCAAAGGCTTATCCATATTCATCATTGTCAGAAAGAACATCCATTGATTTCACCGTTTCAGGGGTAACTCGTTCGTTCTATTTACATAAATGTCATTTACTGCTATTCATCACCACTTAATGCTACATTACTTCTGTTTGGGTTCTTAAATATTGACTGTTATACAACATCATAGCTTTTGGAACAGATGTACGTGCTATTTGCCATACTACCGAGAATTTCGTCTTTAGGATATTATTGTTAACCAAGATTAACCCTTATTTGTATAAATTTAATTAGTTGAACAAAGATCTATATTTTTTGTTAAACAATTTAACGCCGTCTGTGGAGATTTATTAGTTAATTTTTTAGTTTTCCTTAGATCTACAACTAACGTATATGACCGACCTCACGAACCCCAAGATCTCCTTCTTTCTTTGTATGTGCATAAACCTACATGGCAAGTAACCAAAGAGAAAGGACAAAAATAACATGTGATTTCCCGAGCAACCTTATGTACGCTATCTATGAGAACTGTGAAACAGTAAGCGAGGACGTTACTCTCACCGCTTCCCCTAGGCGCGAGAGGTCGCCTCCCCCCATTGTAGCATAATAAAATTCAATGGAAAATGGGCCTCCACGTCCGCAGAAGAAGGGGCATCCCTAACTATGAAAAAGCTCCTCGAAGCATGCTGACTGATACGCCAGTGAGCGTGCTCAACAATCCTGCTCCAGGCATGACTACAGAAACCGCAAGAGCTTGCATGATACAATAAGCGGACGAACAATGCAACTGACCAAACCCTCCTACAACAGGTATAACTCACAATATTACTAACACTGCATGTGACAGCACCCTCGCTGCCATTCTAAAGAGGTTGGAGGAAATGGAGAATGAAAATAAAGCACTCCGAGACCAGATGAAAGAACACCAAGAACGAGTTGACAAGATACAGACGCTCTTAAGTTGTTGCCAAAAAGAGACACCGACAGGTTCGTAGAGAATCTGTACAATGATGAAGCAGCCCCGCATGCCATACCAAATACCTTAGAAATGCCGTATATAATGGAAGGACTGATCCCGAAGATCATGTGACTTATTACGTCACCACCGTGAAAAGCAACGACCTCTCAAAAGAATAAGTGTCCACTATTTTGCTGAAGAAGTTTGGCAAAACCCTTATGGGAGGGGCATTAACATGGTTCTCACAGCTACCAGCCCGCTCTGTAGAAACTTTCTAGGAAATGGCGAATAAATTCGTAACTGCACATGCTGGAGACAAGAAGGCCGAAACAAGAAGAAATGACATATTCGCTGTCAAGCAGTCCTTGGGAGTGGGATTGAGGGACTTCCTTGCCGGATTTAACCGAGTAAGGATGACTCTACCGAATGTGTCCAAAGGGATGGTGGTCATAGCTTTCCAGAACATGCTGAGCAGAGATGGTTCAAGAGCAACTAGTAAACTGTTAAGCCAATTGATGAATATCTTCCAACAACTTGGGACGAAATACACAATGTTTATTGTGCCAAAGTTCGAGCAGACGAGGACGACCTCAACTGACCAACTCATCAGCTCATCTCGGTACAAACCGAATCCAGAAAAGAACGAAGAGACAACATTAGGAGGGATCACCCAGTCTCGTGACCCAACATAGAGCGACATCAGCCATACATTAGGACGCTCGCCATACCTGCCCTCCGCTATGAAGAAGGCCCATCCAGGACCAAGACAGGGACTCATCAAAATGAGAGAGGTATCCCCCCTTATTATCTGCTCACGGTTTTTGTGTGTCACCTATAGAAATAGTCTATGCTCTTGAGAAACTCGAAACAAAGGTAAAATGGCCACCAAAGATGAGGTCTGATCCGAACACCGAAAAATTCGACGCCCTCTGTGAGTTCCACTAGGAACGTGGGCACAAACTAGAATATTGCGTCGCCCTCAGGAAAGAAGTCGTAAACATGTTGTAGCAAGGACACCTCAAAGAGCTGCTAAGCGACAAGGGAAGAAATAGCTTCGCCACAGGACCTGAACACCAAGGTCCGCTGAAGCCGCCTTCACCAGCTCGTATTATCAACATGATCATCGGTGGCGGCGATGATGCCTCTATCAATGGCGTGAGATTCACTACCACTCACAAGCTCAAGCGATCTATCACCCGCGAACGGTACAACAAACTCGAAGAAAGTATCATTTTTGATGAATTAGATGCTGATAGTTTGACTTTCCCTCGTAACAATGCCTTTGACATTACTTTACGCATTTTAGATACTGATGTCAAACATATCATGGTGGATGATGACAGTAGAGCGTACATTATCCATCCCCGAGTCCTCACCCAAATGAGGCTCGAGGACAAGATAGTGCCACGATGCATCACGCTAACCAGTTTTAATAATGCAGTTGAGAGGAACTCAGAGGAAATTACACTCCCCGTCTTAGCCAGCGGCGTGAATCTGGAGACAACATTCCACATCATGGACCAGGACATCATATACAATGCCATAGTGGGACGACCATGGCTATATCCCATGAGAACCATCCTCTCCAGCGTATACCAAGTAATTAAATTATCAAAATCATGGGGAATATTCAGCATACATAGAGAACAACATATGTCTCGGAAGTGCTACTGCATTGCCTTAGACAGCACAATAACCCAACAGAAAAAAGACAAGGGAAAAGAAATATAGCAATCAACAGGGTCGAGGTCGACGCAAGAAGAGACCAGGGACATCATCGTGGATCCTGAAATGGTTGGCGGATTCGACCATAAAAGACCTCGACCCCATTCAATTGGATCGCAATGACTGTAGCAAAAAGGCCTACATCGGCTGAAAACTCCGGGAACCAGGTAAATTCAGTCAATTCTTAATAACTAATGCAAATTTGTTTGCCTTCAGCCATGCAGATATGCCAGGTATCCCCAGGGAAATTGCCACACATAAATTAAACATCGACCCGCCCTACCCTAGTAAGGCAGGCCAGGCATAAATTCAACCCCGCCATCAATGATGTCGTCCGCGAGAAAGTGGAGAAACTATTAGAAAATGGCTCTATGGGGTAGTCGAAGTACCCCAAATGGATCGCCAACGTAGTGATGGTCAAAAAGAAAAATGAAAAATGGCGAATGTGCGTGGACTTCACGGACTTGAACAAAGCATGTTCGAAGGATTCGTTCCCGTTACCTCACATCGACCAACTCACCGATGCAACGGCCAGACACGAGCTATTGAGTTTTTTTGGATGCGTACTCATGTTATAACCAAATACTTATAAAGGAAGAAGATCAGGATACCAACAAGTTCAGTTGGTTAGAGCACTCCCTTAGTAAGCGAATTCGACTATCAATAACAATGCATTATTTATTTCATTTTAAAAGTAATTAATTTTATTTATTATGTACATTTACTTGTAATTATCTCTTAGCTAACTAGGAAATAGGAATACAATCCAACTATCAACAATCCAGGCTGCCTCATCTTTACTTTCCACTAAAATGTAAACATAGGGACACTATTGGCAAGGAAACATGGGCCCTTCATTATCTTTTGTTTTTACCTTCTTTTTTCTCACGTATAATTGGATACAGACAGGGTTGCACAAAAATATCTGAGGGAAACTGTGGATTTACAAGCCAATTTGACGACAACATATCCTAATTCGGTTCGATCTTTTGTTTGAAATTAAAAAATAGCCAGATTTACGAGTGATAACCGAAAAATAGCCACAATTTCAAAAGTAATCAAAATTTAGTCACTTTTCATATAAAGATAAATTTGAATGAAAATACTGTTCAAAATCCGAAAAATATTCCAGAATAATATACTGGAAGTCCAGTATAATATACTGGTCTAGCATAATATGCTGGAACTTCATACACAGGTGCTCCATTCTCCAGTATATTATGCTGTAACTTTCTGTGTGTTGGAGTTTCAGTATAATATACAGGAAGTTCATACATAGATGCACCAATCTCCAGTATATTATGCTGAACGTTTCGTGATGCAGCAAAAGAGTGACTAATTTTTAATGACTTTGTAAACGGTGGTTATTTTTTAATTAGCAGTCCGAAAACTGGCTAGCCCGTGCTATTTTCACTCTTTTGTCTGTCTCTCTTTTGAACTTAAATTGAATCCTTAAATTATAAAGTCGCCTTTTACCTTCATTTTTGTAACAATTATTTCCAATGCAATTAATCCCCATAGTAAAGCCAACTAAAAATTATCTCAATGCAAATATATAAGATTTAACTAAACAAAAAAATGTTACATTAATAGATTTCTATATTGATAAAAGAAGCTGGTCCTATGCCAATTTCACAGTTGGTAGAAATTCTATATATATAGAGAGAGACTGTTTGTTACAACAAAAACGTGTGGAGAAATAGTAACATCCACAAAAAGAGTGTAGTTTATCGCTACATTAGAAATATTACAACCCCTTGTCTTTTTTCCAAAAATAGTTCCTAGGATTTCTGCCCATATTGCTTCGTTAACGAACACCGGAGGAATTACCAAAAAGTTTGTTGTTATTTCTGTCATCTTGCCTACTTCCTTGGCCAGCCTGTCTGCCACCCTATTGTCTTCTCTGTAGCTATGATTTACTTGAGGATGCCCCAGTGATGTTTGGAGTGACCTGCATTCACATATAATAGTTTCATAAATCAGGTTGCCTATATTGATGCAATGTATTACCTCAGTTGAATCTATATTAACTTTCAAAGGCATGGGGTTGTTTGAGACTGTCATTCTTATAGCTCGCTTGGCCAAGCTATAAAAATCAGCTTATTTTGAGAAGTGTTTTTTTTTTTCAAAAATGCTTTTCTCAAAAGTATTTTTAGTAAGAAGTAGTTTGTGTTTGACTATTTAGTTTGAAAAGCACTTCTGAGCAGCAATTAGTGTTTGACCAAGCTTTAAAAAACTAGTTCTAAGTGTATTTTTCTCAAAAGTGCTTCTCAAAAAAGTGCTTTTGGAGAGAAGCTATTTTTTTCTGCTTTTCCAAAACTGCTTCTACTTCTCCTCAAAAGCATTTTTTTTTCTTTCCAAAAGTTTGGCCAAACACCTTAATTTTTGGTCAAAAGTGCTTTTGGCAAAAAAAAATACTTTTAGCAAAAAAGAAGCTTTGTCAAACATGCTATTAGTCCTTGTGTAAGAGCTGTTAGTTCAGAGTAAAGAGTGTTGGTGTAATTTATTTTTTTCATGAATACCATCACCCAATCCCCATTGTTGTTCCTTATTACTCATCCTAATCCTCCTATAAACCCCTTTTGGATAGTTGCACCGTTTATGTTGAGCTTATAGTAGCCTCTCTTGGGAGGATGCCATTTAATTTATATAACAGTGTTAGGAATGTCAGTGCATCCTCCAGCCATATGAATGAATTCAACAGCTCTAGCTATGACGTTCTTACAGGAAACTCGCTCTCTTTTCCCATTGAAACAATTGCTATTTCTAGGAAATTAGATCTCCCATAGGCAGAATGGGATCAACTCTTCCCATTCGAGGAGTTTGCTGAACTTTTTGTTGCGGGTTATGTTAGTAGTGCAACCCCAATTGTTTTGATTGTTCAAAAGGGTGGTGGTGTTATGGTTATTGTGACTCATTCGGGATAGATTGTCCCAAAATAGTTTAGCATAGTCATAATTAGCTATGACATGTTCAATGGATTCCTCCTCTTAGTTACGGAAGAAACAAATGGAGTTCATATTGATCCCCTATAGTTCAAGTGTTTTCTAGTAGAAATACTGCCATAGGTCATTAGCCACAAGAAGTATTTGATTTTGTTTAGCACATTATTTGACCAAATTCAGTTGAATTCCATGTCTGGATTGTGACACTACTTGTCAGATTGCTCAAGGACAATAAAGTAAGCAGATCTGGTAGAGAATAGCCCATTACAGGTTTTGTTCTACACCATATTATCTATTCTAAGATTATTAGCATTAGAAATGGTGGAGTTAATGGTAGAAACCACACTATCAAGCAGTTTAAAAGAAAGACTGCTAGGATTCCAATCGCCATTTAGAAGACATGTGGCCAGAGTTCTATTCTCCTCTCCCATGTTAAGAGGGCCACTAACCAAGGCTCTAAAGGGTTCTATGTTTTGAATTCATCTGTCATTATATAGGTTGATTTTATCACTCTTATGTACTATCCACTTATTGGCTTCTCTGCACATTTTTCACTCATTCCTAATACTTGTCCAAATTCTAAAAGGAATGCTCCTGCTGTGATGAGTGCTAGTGAAGTGCTTATGAAACAACACTCTGGCCCAAAGTGCATTAGGGTTGTTATACAGCCTGCATGCCAGACTTACATGGCTGGCAGTGTTCCTAAGGTCAATTTATACACACCAAGGCCCCTGCATCTCTTGTCTTAGTAATAGTGTCCCACTTGATCGTGTGCATTTTCTTCTTAACAACAGTAGTATCTGATAAGTATGGAATTTGATCATTTATTAATATCTTTTTACTTTAGTTCTAGTCTGAAAGTATTGATTTATGTTCCCAAAACTAATAAAAGTGTGTAAATTGCAGGAATGTTGGAAAATTGGACTCTAATGAAAGAATCAAACTTTAAAAAGTGTGTTCCGGCGCTTAAGGCAAGAAGGAGCGTAGCAGGCTAAAAGTGTCATCCGCAGAAGAAAGCGTGGACCACAAAATTCTCTATGTAGCCACAGAACTAGTGTTGAAGCTCAGAAGTCGATTGAAGAGAAGTGCGGACCGCACACAATTTGTGTGGTCGCAGTTAATAGTCGCACTGATAAGAATTCAAAAAGTTCAAAGAGTGTGCAAAATGACCAAGACTGAAACCTTGCCAGAAGTACGAACCACACATGAAATTGGGCAGCCGCAAAAGTTGAATTGCAGCTGCAGAACAAATTGTGCGGTTGCAAAATCCTTCAACCTGCAGACTCGAGCAAAGTGTGGGCCACACATGGAATTGTGTGGCCACAGAACCTCCTAAAGGGCATTTTTGTCAGCGAATTTTGGACCACTATAAATAGTTGGGAATCACTTTCTTAGGTCAAAATTTGTAGTTTTTAAGTTGTATCTGCAGTAGTTTACCACTTTGGGTAATTTATGACCAATTTGGGTTAAAAACACAATAGCTTATTATTTTAATTTTATATTATGGATTTATTTAGTGTTTCTTCTTTATTTTTTTTAATTTTTTCTAGGGTTGTGACCTAGTCCTAGTGTGTAAACATTATAGGTAACTAATCTAATGATTGTTTATGATTGGGTGTTTATTATTTAGCCTTGTTCATGTTTTAATTTTAGAATTAATGGTTGCAAATATTGATTCATACTTTTTTGACTTGGTCTTTACTTGAGAAAGAGAGACTTAGTATAGGAAAACTTGGCGAACAAGAAATTGGGCTAGTTATGCTTTTAATTAGCCTAATTAAAGAGTGTAAACTAGAGATAGGGAAAACCCGACTTGAGCTCATATCAACTATTTGGGTTGCTACCCATTTGGGCTTGAGCAAGCCAAATTGGACAAAATCACTTTATGAGCGAGAGGTATTGAGTGGGTAATTTAGAGTTGAGAGCTATAATACACCCCAAATCACCAAAATAAGTGTTAATTAACCCATTTGGCTAACACCGAGGAGAAGGTTACATCCCCATGCTTTTTACCTATTTGAAAACAACCAAAAACAAATAATCAAGTTCTAGTTTCAATTC